GGTCTGGAACATTTTCACCTTCTGGGAAGACCAGAACTGCAGACACATTGCAAGCAGTGTCCACCTGGGCAGTGTCTAGCCTTCTTCAGCCTGGCCAGACTCCCCCAGTCGGGCTCCGCATCCAGGCCTTACTGACTTACTTCCAGCTCTGGCTCTGCCTCCCTCTCCATCTCCAGGCTTCTTCCTTCCTGCATCCCCCCATACCTGGAGTCTTCTCTAGCTTCTGGGTTGGCCTCCTCCACTGCCAGCTTCCAGCAACCATCGGCCTCCCAACCCACCCCCATCCTTCCCAACAATAGTTGTGTTTGTTTTCTCATGAGATGTTAGGAAAGCAAATTTCTAGAACTCATTCATGAGTGACAACCTCCCCAGGGCTGGATGCCTGAAACATACACATATATACCTATGGGTTAATGAATGTATATATGAAATTTCAAGCAATATCAGAGAAGTATCCTATTCCACTTAATCTGCTCATTAGCACTGCCCAGGCTAAAGGGAAAGTAGAATTCTTGCCTCTAGAGGAGGACATTTGATCCTCTAGAGGAAGCCCTTGGCCACTACTATGCAAACCCCTCATCCTACTAGCTTTTCTGCTGGACCATGCAACAGGGACTGCCATTTCTCATTAGTGAGGGGCAGCCACTCTCTCTTCAAGAAAAAACTCCTCTCTCTGTCTCCTTCACCCCCTGACTCTCTAAACCAAACAGGATTCAGTCTTCTTGACTCCTAACAGCCAGGGGTAGGCTCAGATCCCTGGGCAGAGGCAAGGACCCTGTGACACATAGATCTGAGTGGGACAAGATTTATTAATATCTGCATTTATTAACATCTTCACTCTCCCTTCCTTTGTGGCAGCCCACATGTGCACTCCAGGAGTGGCTTTTCTGGCACGGTTTATGGCTCCTGTCCGGTACAATAGAATGAGAAACGATAGGCATCCAAACTGAGACATGGACAGAAAAGTAGGGAGGGCCTTGTCAGAGAGTGCAAGTCAATCTAGTAAAGAACTAGTAGGCATGGCGAGGGCGGGGGAGAGAGAGGAACAATATTGTCAAGAGAGTGGAAAAGAGTTTGGGGATCTGGCATATGAGAGCCTCTGGGACAGCTGCGAGTTGGCAAAAACTGGAGCGTGCAGGAGGGAATGTGAAAAGTGTTTTTGGCTTATAAATTAGTCTCTTTAAAGTTCATCCAGAAATGTAAGTAAAGAACAGCTTTCTTTCCTTTTTTTCTATTTCTTTTTAAAATTTATTTTTTAAAATCACTTTTTGTTGCCAGATTGTGCTTCCTTATAAGCAAGTCAGTGCAGACATAGAACTGGGATTCACCTATAACAAAAATTCAGAATTTGGCATGCAGGTACCATGATTTTCTGCAACTTGCAAAAAAAAAAAAAAAATCAAGGGATTATTGTCTCTTATCCCATGACCAACTTCTCATATGGGAGACTTCCCTTTTCTTCCCCTCCCCTACACCCAGAGGAATACAAAGGCAGGTTTGGAATTTCTGCCAATGATGCCTTTTTATTATCCAAACATCAGTTCCCTACCTGCTCTGTGACAAGCAGAGATGAAGAGCACATGGGCCTAACTTTAAGGGGCTCAAATAGGAACAGGTGAAGTGGACATATGACAACTCATGAAGAAAGTCATGCAGCTTACACTGACATGGAGCTAGAGGCGAGGCACCGTGCCCTCCCCGAGCAGGAAACACGGGAACACCGGGCACTGCCTGTGTGGTCTGGGGAGGCTTCTGAGCGAGGCTGAGTCTGAAGGGATGAGGAGGGGTTGCCAGCAGGCAAGATGGAAGAAGGAATAAGGGCATTTCAGGTCAAAGAAAAGAACATGGTCCCTTTAGACACCTGCTGTGGAGGTGGAGGTGGGCTGGCAGCAGTTTGTATAATAAGATGAGAGTGTAGTCAGGTGACATTCTGGAAGGCCCTGTGTGTTGGGCAAAGGAATTAAGACTACTGTCTTGTAGGCAATGGGGAGGGGAGATAGTGACAAAGCTCCATAGGACAGTGACAGTATCAACTGCTCATTTTAGGAGTGTATTTCTAGTGGGCATAGCTTAGAAGAAAGATGGCGGTAGAAGGACAAAGTAAGGAGTCATGCGGTCACATAGGGGACAGCAAAGCGTTTATGTAATAAGACTGTGGCAAGGAAATAGAGGGGAGGGATTTGCTCAAGGGGATAGCTTGGTGGTGGGGGCGCGAGGTTGAGGAACTTTCAGACACTGCGTAACAAAGACAAATGATTTTGACAGCGTTCTTCTATCCCTTCTGTGGGCAACTGGTTTGTATTCCTCATTAAATGGACTGGAGAATATAGGTTTGGTTGAATATAAAATTTGGGGAATTTTGGAGAATATAGGTTTGGAGAATATAAATTTTGGGGAATGTTAACTTCAAGGGACATTCAGCTAGAATGTGCAGTAATGCAGGAGAAATGTCAGGCCAAAATGATAGCTTCTTTATGGTCATCAACCTCTTCTACGTGGTAGATGTAAGAAATATAAGGTATCAATGCCTATAAATAGAACCCTTGATGAATGGTTTTTGTGTTATGCATTGATAAAATGCAGCAAGGACAGGCTCATATTTAGTTACTGATGGCATGAACTGTTAATGGTGAGATGTAATTGTATCTCCTAAGAAATGAACACGTAGGGTGTCCTTACCATGCTTATGTTAAGAGATCTGAACTGGATTAATCTTGGCCAGGCCACACACTATATATTTTTCTTCTCCAGAAAAAGGGGTTTTTAGGAACAGTTGAAAGCAATGAGGTTAATGACAGAAAGAGACAATCTCAAAATCTAGTTTTCAGCTGTGAAGACAGGTTGGTTGGTAGTTCACAACAGCCAAGTGAACCTACTACGAGTTTTCTTAGGGCCAGAGGTGGAAGAGCTAATCAGAAGGCAACAGGACAAATTCCTGGCTGATTTCATTGTCTGAAGGAGATTTTCCTGTATAGATGATGTAAAGGTAAGTACCCCAACCACTCTCTACTGGTTGAGAGAGTATGTGAGAAGGAGAAAGAGAGAGAGGATTAAAAAAAGAAAATAAAGAGACCTGTTGGAATCCAGAGTCAACACCAAAATCCACTAGTCTAAAATTAACCAGAGATTTGTTTCCATAATCTTTCCAACCATTAATAATTGTGCTGCTTATTTTTTTAGGCCTTGTATCACATGCATTGTATTTAAATTTTTATCTAAAAGCTTTTGGTAGCCTTTGACATGAAGATTCCTGATTTGGAGGTAATTCATGTCTGATTTTCATTGGGTTGCAGGACGCACTGGGAATCTACGTCCACTCTCTGCCCCTACTACAATTCTGTTTGCTTGTGGTTCAAAAGTAGTTTCTTATTTACAATCTTAAAACAATTCTTTTTGTAATTTTCTGATGTTAATGAGTCGATATTAGGGTCCTTTTTTGATAATAAGATTTCCAGAAAGAAAAGCAAACTCTGTTCATGGAACATCCAATCAAAACACAGGGTATTCTGGGAAGGTCTCAGAACATTTCATAGAAATTAAGTTCTGTACCTTCCAGGTGAATGTGCTCAAGGTGGGTTAGCAAGAGACCTGCTAGAGGATTAAGGCAAGAATGGATTTAAAGAAGTGGAGTTGGGGAATTAACTCTGTTGCCTGAGGAGGATTAGCTTTCTAGGCACTAAAGCCTAGAGAGAAGTTTAACAGCACTGCCTGGATCCTGGAAAGATTTTACCCTGCCCCCAGGCCATGTTTAATCTGTAGCTTCCCCAAAGCACATTGTGTTCATATTGAGGGGAGAGTGACTCCCAAACTGAATAAATTGTCACCGAGAGCATTGGGGGCTTAGTGATGAATATACTAACTGTGGGGCATCCAGAAACCAAGGACAGGTCCTGGTGTGACTGCTGCCTGTCAAAGTCACTGCTGTCTCTGAGCTTCCACATCCCCTAAGAATAACAAGAGCTAATATGTACTGAACACTTCCTAAATCTCAGAGAACCATTAGCATTTCGTGTACATCTCATTTAATCCTCACATTCTGCTGTGGGACATGACTATAATCCTCTCCATGTTGCAGTTGAGGAAATCAAGGAACCCACAAGTTAAATAGTTTACCCAAATTCATATGGTCAGTAATGACAGCTTGGGTTCCAGTCCTGGTGGACAGACGCCCTTTCCCATAACATCACACCACATCCTAAAGTGAGGGGAAAGGACTAGAGGATTATGAGGGTCCTTAGAGCCCTACCAGTGTGAGTGAGTGTGTGTGTGTGTGTGTGTGTTGGGGGGAAGGGGGCAGAGATCTATTTGTAGGCTAGGAACACACAGCATTCAGCTCTACCCCATTCCTTCGGACCACGGAGAATCTTTTGGGACTATGTCCTCGCTGCCAGGCTACAGGTAGCCGTGCAGGACTTGGTTTAGCTCCCGTGCCCCACAAGGATACTTAACAGGGCCATTGCTTTCTGAGCATGTGGGTTAAGCAAGATCTCCCTGGTAGTGGGACCTTGGAGAAATGAAGCTGCTGGAATGTTGGCCACAGAGCAAAATGCTGCAGCAAGAAGCTGCAAGCTGCAGGCTCCCAGCTAGCTGTCTTGAAAGGGACCACAGTAAATCAGGAGCAGCCACTGAGGCTGCTGCTGGATTTCAGGGCCAGAACCTGGCCAGGGGCTGTGGACCCCCAAAGCCAAGAGCAGCAGCCTCACCACCACCGACTGGCGCCTGGGGGGCCAGGCGAAGACGCTGACTGCGCCTGGGGAAGGGGGCCACTGAGCACTGGCTCTCTGGACGCTGCAGTCGAGGTGAGGGGGTGACAAGGGGAAGGAAGGAACCAGAGGCACCAGAGCGACTTGGAACAAAGGGGGAGTAGTGGGGTGCTGGGCACAGCAGGGTGAGCAGCGCGGGAGGAGGCGAAAGCGTGAGCTTGAGTGAGAGGGGGAGAGGAAAGCAGCTAAGAGCTACCAAGAAGGGGAGGAAGTGGGAGATGCGCCGCTTCCTGTAGAAAGCACGATGACTGAAGACAAAGCTGGGTGGGGACTAGTCCCTGGGCTGCAGGCGCCGCCGCTCCACACGCACAGCGCGCAGCGGCGGCCGCTCGGTGGCAGCTCCTGCTCCTGCTCCTGCTGCGCTGGGCGGGCCGCGCCGGGCTCGCTGCACGCTCGGCTCCCACACCCGCACCAGCGCTCCGCGACCAGCCGCCCGCCCCAGGTAAGGGCGCCGCTCCTCCGCTTGCTCCCTGCTGGGCGAGGGACGGACCACCGCGGCGGGCCAGGGCAGACCGGGACTGGCTTCAGGATTGGGGGGAGTGATCAGGCTGGGCTCTTGCAGAGGGCTTTGGAGAAGGACCAAACGTGCGGCACGTTTGCTTAAAAAGAAGGCTCAGGAGCGCTTAGCTTTGGCGATTCGTGGGGGAAAACGCGCTCGATGTAAGCGGCCGGGTGCATAGTTCTCTTGAAAGAAAAGCAGGGATCAGTCGAAATCAACTGGGGCTCTGAGGCTGTGGGCTCATCATCTGAGCGTTGCAGTCTCCTGGTTTTAAGGGTGTAAGTGGTGGAAAACGTTATCTTTCTTACACATTGGACTGAGGTGTCTTCTGTTCTGCCAGTATAGTGACTGTGATTTAGCTTTTTTTGGGGGGGGGACGCGGTTAAATCCTTTTGTACTCAGAATTTGCCAACAAAGACTGGAATTGCGTATATGAGGGGCAGTAGTTACCGTTTAAAAAAAAGGTGCCTTCCTCCTTCGGCTCTGTGCAGCTGCTTTCAGGATAGCCTCAGAAGCGAGCTACCATTTGCGGGTAGGTCTCCTCCTAAAGTTGCATCCTTTCTCTAAGGAGCGTGGGAGGTTTAACTTGTCCAGATTCAGATATGTATGGCTTTGATGCTTATGTAGATTTTATTCATCTATAGGTCAAGATGCATATTAATCTCAGTGAGGGATAAAATGTACAAGTGGAGCTGGGTTATTTCCTTACCTATATACCCCATAAACAGAGCCAAGTAGTAAAATCAGAATGTGATTTTGTTCTTTGGTTCTCTTGAGCAATGGATCCTGTTAATGAGAGTCCATGACCATGACTTGTTCATATTTATGAATGATATGTGAAAGTACAATAAAGAGCTCTAACAGATTGAAAATGAAATTGCAAGATTTCTTTGGCAGGTTACGTAGCAGGAAGAGTTTACTACCCAAGTGAAGAAATGATTTAAGAAATTAACCTTTGTCTCCAACAGAAAGTGTGGGTGAGCAATAAATGGTCATTGATAAAAGGTGTTTTCTTGAATTTTTAGAATGAAAGGGGATACATTTTCAAAGGAAAGAAAGAACTGCTTATAGTGGAGTAAGAAAGAGTAAAAAGGTCATATTTAGACACTCATAAATTCTCAAAATGTAGGTTTTTTTAAACACTAAATATGCCGTTGAGAGTGTATATGCTTCCTCCTGTATCACCATTCTCAGGAAGAGCTGTAAGGTCTGTTTTTTAGTGCCATCTTTCTGAAATTGATTTGGCGTCTCAAAATTTGTGATGTAGCAGCACATTTTGAGAGATAAGAATCTTTAGGTACTAAAGAAAAAATATCTACTTTTCTGAGGTTACTTATTAAATTAAACTTGCACTCTGTCTAAGGGGCAAAAGATTGCTGGTGTTGAAACCATGGAGTTTCCCTGTGGACTCATTGAATTTAATCAAACCTGTAGGCAAGATAAGTCATTCTGTGTATTTCACAGTTGCACTTCCCATTTCCCTCCTAAAGTATTAAATATGGAAAGATAATCTTCCACAGAGGAGATATAGGGGTTGATCTTGGATCTGAAATGCCGCTACTTGGAGTTCCTGACTGAGCCACCTATCATTAAACGAAGTGGAAAGTTGGGAAGCTGGGCTGTATGAGGATGGGGCTCACCCCTTGGTACTTACTTATCTACAGGCTGTGTATTCACTAGATTGTGCCAACACCCTGCTTTGTTTGGGAATGTGTAGACAATCTGCGTTGTTCTCTGTGTGTGTTTCACAAAGAGTAAGAAAATGAAACCTTGGCCCTTAGGCACAGCAGAGTCAAGAGGGCTCCCTGTTCTCTTTCACAAAACGGTTAAGAGCTGCCTATTTTCTGTACTGCACAAAACATTTCCTTAATTGTTAAATTTCATCTTGAAGCACAACATGAGTGAGTAACAGCTGATCAGTAGCTGTGATGGTAGAAGGTTTAGGAAAAAGATAAAAATGCTTCTGTGCTATAAAATGAGACTGTTTCCACTTGTTCTGGCCATATGGAATATTGAAAGACATAATGCTTTTGCCCAGGGTATTCAGGAGCTTTTGAGGGAGTCGACCTACACTGAAATTTTAATCGTACCTTTTTTTTTTTTTTCTGCCATATGGCCAATGGCTGAGTGGAAACATGACTCCATTATTTCATGGCCAGCCCTGGGCCTCATATGGTGGGCACACAGTGAATGTATTTGGTTGACTGACTTTTTCAGCCTACTTCAGAAGGCAGGTCTAACTTTTAAGTATAAAAGCTCTATCATCAAAGCAGAAAGCCAGTTCAAAAAGACAACTATGGGGTAGAATAAAAGAACATCATGGAATGAAAAGAACACTGGCTTCGGCTCTGAGAGTCAGGCAGATCTGCCTTTGAATCCTACCACTGGTTCTTACTACTTGACCTGGTACGTTAACGTTTAAACCTTAGTTTCTTTGTTGTAAAGAGAATTTAATAGTACATAATCAAGGTTTGGGGTTTTCTTTGTTGTCTTTTTTTTTTTTTTTTTTTTTTTTTTTTTTTTGCTGTTGTATGTGACTATGTGAGTGCCTGGTATGAGTAGTAGGTACTCAGATGTCAGTTTTTCTTCCTGGGTGGCGAAAGGAAAAGTTAGCATATTCTCAGCCTTTACCACTACCTCCAAGGTTCCAGGAGACCTTTTTTTTTTTTTTTTTTTACTAGAGTAAAATATGTATAACATAAAATTTTCCATTTTAACGATTTTTAGATAAATTTTCTGTGGCATGAAGTATGTTGATGTTGTTGTATGACTATTACTACTTATCCATCAGCAGATCTTTTTCATTTTCTCAAACTGAAACTATTCCCATTAAACAATGACTCTCCATTTTCTCCCCCTCACAGCCCCACGCAACCCACTATTCTTTCTGTCTCTGAGTAGGACTACTCTAGGTGCCTCATATACATGGATTTCTACGGTATCTGTCTTTTTGTGACTGTCCTCATTCACTTGCCATCATGTCTTCAGAGTTCATCCATGTGGTAGCAGGTGTCAGAATTTCCTTCTTTCTTTAGGCTGGATGATATCCCATTGTGTGTATATTGCCATGCTTTGTTTAGTCATTCATCTGTTGGACACTGGGGTTGCTTGCATGTTTTAGCTATTGCAAATAATGCTGCTATGAACATGGCTGTACAATTATCTGTGTGAGTCCCTGCATTCACTTTTTTTGAGGCACACCCATAATTGAATTGCTGGATCAAATTGTAATTCTGTTTAATTTTTTGAGGAATGGCCATACTGCTCCCCGGTAGCTCTACCATTTTACAGTCCCATAACAGTGCACCAGAGTTCCAATTTCTCCTCATCCTCACCAACACTTGTGTTTCTTGGGGGTTTGTTTGTTCTTGACAGTAGCCGTACTAATTAGGGTATGAATTGGTATTTCTTTGTGTTTGCAATTTTCCCTAAGGATTAGTGATGTTGAGCATCTTTTCTTGGGCCTATTGGCCATCTGTATATCTTCTTTAGATAAATGTTTATTCAAATCCTTTGCTCATTTTTTAATTGGATCATTTTTCAAGGAGACATTTTTAAATGGCAAGATCTCTTGACATAGAGTGTCCTAAAGATCCTGATTATAATATTTGAAATTAGTCTCCTGCATATACCAGTATTATCCCTGCCCAAGTAAAATACTTCTCTCAGGAGTAACTTTTAAAATCAAAAGGAGAGAGGCACCTGGGTGGCTCAGTGGTTGAGCATCTGTCTTTGGCTCAGGTCGTGATCCTGGGGTCCTGGGATTGAGTCCTGTATCAGGCTCCCTGCAGGGAGCCTGCTTCTGCCTCTGCCTATGTCTCTGCCTCTCTCTGTGTGTATCTCATGAATAAATAAATAAAATATTAAAAATAAAATTAAATAGAGAAAGTAAGAAAATCTGCAGAGCTCCTGATAATTGGTGATATCAAGAATCTGATAGTGGAATCCAAATTCTTATTCTAGACTGTCACACCAATGACCCTGCTGGTCAAATGTGGACCAGGCTACTACAAAGGAGGCACTGGGGGACTGTTCCCACATCTTTCTAGTCTCCACTCATTAGATGGATGAGAAAGAAAGCCCCAGTAGTTGGCAGGTTTGGAAAAAGGGGAGAGAATCTAAAGTATTAAATTATTCTTCAGTTTATTCTAATGGAGAGGATTAACCTATGGAGAAAGGGCTATAGTAGTTAAACAACAATAGATTTCTGAGAGAGGCTTCTACTAGCAAAATGTGATTCTAATCTAAATTTCACTTTTGAAAATAGAGAATCCTTCTGAGTTTCATTTCCCACTATACATTTCACCCTTGATTCTGAAACTGATGAAGCAGGGTGTGAACAGGGCTGAGGGGAGTTGCACAGGAAGATGAAGGGGTCTCTGTTAAGAGCAACAATATCTGAGATTTATGGTGTGGGTATGGAGGTTGACCTTGAATAGTTTGAAGAGCTCCTGACCGATCATAGGTGAGTTTCTTGTAATGCAGTCTTTATGTGTGTTGGTTGGTTGAGTAATAAACCCCACTTTATTTAATTTGCAAATCTATTTATTCTACAACTAGTGGGAGGATCCATGACTGGCTTTCTAGATCCAGGTGGAGAAGGGAACTAGAACTTTGTTAAGACTTAGTCCCTGGCTTGTGGCCTTCTAGAATGGTACAACTGAAAATGACCTAGGGATGAGCCTGGTATGTTTCAAACCCTCCATGATGGATAATAGAAGAGGTCCAGAATTTAAGTTGCCTTTTTAGAGCTGCACAGATGATTGATACCTTACCCCCAATTCAATCTCCATTTTCACCTCCTTTCATATTAGGGCAAATGGACAGAGAAAGCCTTTATACTCGGGATGTCTAAGTGGCTCGTTAGTTTAGCGCCTGGCTTCGGCCCAGGGCGTGATCCTGGAGTCCCAGGATCGAGTCCCACGTTGGGCTCCCTGCATGGA